CTCGAGTGCAAAAGTAAGTACATTGCCTTCAGAAAAACTGCACCTCAAGGCTATCCAAGGGCCTAAATAGCTGCAGAAATGAGAGTTTAGACCGGGACTGCACGGGAAGCAGTAGCTTCAGAGTTCATGGCGGATGTATGCAGGCTCACGTACACTGTATGCTCCGCTGCTATGCATCCATTAACATGGCCTCTGCTGCTGCTATTGGTGATGTGGTTGCTCTTTCTACGGCTGCTGCGTGCAGGTGGAAAGGAGTTTATAACCGCCATAGAAGGCGAATTGCGATCTATCCCCGAAGCAGCGAAAGAAGAACTCGGTAGACGAATGATGAGCAGTGCCAAACTGAGTAAGGCTTCTAGAGTATAGAACAGGCAGATACAGAAACAAAAATGACGGCAGCAGATAGACTAAGGGACCCTATAGGGAGGCAGGCACAGGGAAAGAGGGAAAGGAATAGATGGGCAGCGAATGAATCATAGAGGGAATGGGAGAGGGAGAGGGGGATAGACAGAGAAAGACGAACCGGACACCGCATGAGAAGCTCGAAGGAGAAGTGCTGGAGAGTGAAGAGTAGAATATTCAGAAACGGAGATGCAATGCACTGCAGCTTACACACATAGCAACGAGCATATCACAGGTGTTTGCCCCTCTAGGCTCGACGGGGGAAGGAGCCACATTTTGTGCTCAGTTTTCTTTATTTGTTTATCTACACAAACTTTGAATCGAATGGTCCCCCGTCTGTTCACCTGGTTTCAGGGTATATTGGGTTAATTTGCTTGCATTCATTTACTTTGTTTGTCTGTTTCTGCGGCAGTGATCGACCCAAAGGAGAAAGTGGCTTGCGTGGAGTACGACACGGGTTTGACCGATCGGGTATACAGCAAAGAAGGAGAGGTGGGGGCTGTTGGCTATGGGGTGCGAATCCGCCTTTCCCAGAAATACAATGCACAAAGCGGTGGATGTAAAGGAGACCTTCAATCCGAGAGCGTTGTGAGGACTGAACGACGTGAGAAGAATATCTTATATGACAATTTTCTTTCTATTTGCGCACTCCTTTATCCCCATTTCATACAACGAAGGCTTTATGCGACACAAAAAAGCAGCAAACATGATGAATAGATATGTCTGGCAGCTTTCCTGGTTATAGATGAATATATATATATATATATATATATATATATATATATATATATATATATATATATATA